GGCTGAGGCAGGAGACTCACTTGAGCCCAAGAGTTGGAGGTTGCTGTGAGCTATGATGCCATAGCACTCTACCCAGGGGGACAGCTTGAGGTTCTGTCTCAAAAAAAAAAAAAAAATAATGGGGTGTTTTGGCGGGTGCCTGTAGTCCTAGCTACTTAGGAGGCTGAGGCAAGAGAATCACTTAAGCCCCAGAGTTTGAGGTTGCTGTGAGCTGTGACACCATAGCACTCTACCTAGGGTAACATAGTGAGACTCTGTCTTAAAGAAAAGAGAGAGACAGAATGAAAAAAAGCAGGAGGAGAGATTCTCGTAATAGGTGAAGGGACCTCTGTGAAAATATAATAAAAGAAGCAAGGAGAGGTCCTTATGCACAAAGCTGTAGAGCACAGAGTGCATGTTGGCAAGCTCTGTGAGGCCCCCAGGTTAGAGAAGGGACAGAGACTCACCGTCATTCGGAGTGCCAGATGGGGACAGAAAATAGCCAACTGTCGCACTGGCTCATTGTGAGTGTTGAAAAAGATAGTCATGGTGACCAGGACATCATAGTTGTGAGCCTGGCAGAAAGCATGGAGATCTGCGAGGAGGCCAGACCTCTGCAGAAAGGCCTGCAAGGAAAGAAAAGGAGAAGGACGAGGGATGAGGGCTACAGCTGGGCACTCCTTGGCACCACTAACCAAACACACTTATCAAGGTTTTCTTTGCATGTTAACTGGGGACCTGCGGTCTGTAAGAAACAAACCTAGGCCAGGAGTGGTGATTCACACCTGTAATCCTACCATTCTCGGGGGCAGAGGCTGGTGGATTGCCTGAGCTCACAGGTTCAAGACCAGCCTGAGCCAGAGCGAGACCCCAGCCATTTTTAGAGATGGGCAGGCACCTGTAGTCTCAGTTACTTGGGAGGCTGAGGCAAGAGAATCGCTTAAGCCCAGGAGTTTGAGGTTGCTATGAGCTGAGACGCCACGGCACTCTCCCGAGGGTGACAAAGTGAGACTCTGCCTCAAAAAAAAGGCTTGGTGCCTGTAGCTGAAGCGGCTAAGGTGCCAGCCACTTACACCAGAGCTGGCAGGTTAAAATCCAGCCTGGGCCTGCCAAATAACAATAACAACTACAACCAAAAAATAGCCAGGCATTGTGACAGGTGCCTATAGTCCCAGCTACTCGGGAGGCTGAGGCAAGAGAATCTCTTAAGCCCAGGAGTTGGAGGTTGCCGTGAGCTGTGATGCCACAGCACTCTATCCAGGGCGACAGCTTGAGGCTCTGTTTCAAAACAAAACAAAAAAGATACCTAGTATTTACCCTGTGCTATCTGTGTGCTGGAAGGCAGTGTGGTAGAATGAGGCAAACACAGGCTCTGGATTCAGACAGATTTGGTTTAGGCTGGATGCCTGTGGCTCAAGCAGCTAAGGCTCCAGCCATATAACCTAAAGTAGTGAGTTTGAATCCAGCCCGAGCCCACCAAACAACAA